CCTCCTAATCTTCCTCATTTCCCTGCAGCTTCCAAAAGTAAACCTTTAAGGGCCTTCTCCTCTACCACTGGAGTGTGGACTGCATTTTTCACACATTTAGACATCAGCACCTCGGATTAAATCCTGATCGCATATAGGATATGCAAAGGTTTATTTTACAGACATACAGTACGTTTACATGAAAATTGCATGGATATTGTCAAAGAGTGAGAGGAGGATGCTCTCTATGGATGGATCTCCTAAAATCCTAATGTCCGCTTCAGGAATAGTTCACCTCTGTATGCCAGCAGCAATAAAGAGAAGTCAAGCCACAGTTGCTAAGCAACATTTGTCCTTGACAGCACGCCTCACTTTCCTACTTTTATGCACATTAGATGTACCAGACAAAACATCAGCGCTTCAGAAACTGCAAAGGAAGGCTGTCTTAAAATTTCAAACGACTGTTGCAGAGCAGTAGAAACATTTCAAGACAGTGCATTTAATGAGAGTTGCACAACTCAATTGAAAGGTATCCCCATCCCAGCTTTAACTAATTATTCACAGCTTTTGCACTGCATTCAGTTTTGCCACCTTGGTGTCCTACCTAATTAAGTCTTTCAGTGTAGACAGACGCTTCAAGGGAAATGAGGTAAAGACATCACCTCAAGTGCATCAATGTTTACTTGGCTAAGATCACTTGCAAATGAAAAGAGAAGCTGTGCTGAAGGCTCTAGCTTGGACTGACAGCCTCCCTGAATCATCACTCACTAGCCCACAGCTGTTCACCAGAGCACCAGGCCCGTGGTGTTGATCATCTGGGCAGGATCACGGCTCAGACAGGATCTATAGCCTCTGTCAGGCATGCTCTCTCTGTTGCTTGAGGGGCTGGCCTGGAGGGCAGAGGCCTTAGGTGTCAGGCAGCACTGAGGCAGACAGAGGGGTACAGGACACAGAGAATCCAGGTTAAGGGTGTGGTCAGCACATGTCATTCAATGCCTGGAGGCCACATTGGCCTCAATATTTCTCTGATTTTGCCCGACGATTCACAAATCATGGTAGAACTCCCTTGTCACCCACCTCAACCTCTGAACACTTCAGTTTAATCTGTCACTCAATGGATGTATGTGACAGAGCGCTTGTTTTTTTCTTTTGTTTTGATAAACATGAAATACTCCAATATTTTCCTCTACCCTTCTGGTATGTTTGTGAGTTTGTATGTGATCCGAATGAAGCTTGAATGATACCTACCTTTTTTGTTTCCCGAAAATCACTGCAGTGTTTCCCCCAGTGGAATATTATATTGTGTTGATCAAGATGGCCACCAGTCACCTTTTCTGTTTGTAGTATCCCACAATGCTTGCACCAATGATCTTAAAGGGAAAGGTGACTGGTGAGCCATCTATAAATAACAGATGTAAGATTATTTGTTTGGTTTAAGTGGATATATAACTGTTGTATGACTCTGTTAAAATGTATAAGTTTTTATGGATGGTTAAATAAATTGTTTTGATCAAATTGCCCATCTCTGTTAAAGGTCTGTGAAAAGATGTGAGTGGGTCCCTTTAAGAGGATTGCCCTTGGAGAGGTGGGGCTATAAAAGGAACTGGGGGAGCTCAGTAGGGGGGTGCCTTGGAGGGAAGGTGTGCAGAGAGTACTCCTGTGTGGGATTTTTGTTATCCCTATTTTGATGGCAATAAATCCAGCTTTGTTTGCATTTCAAGACTGCTGTTGGGAGTTTTTCTTTTGAGCCAAACCTGGTCGCTTGGCCAGCGACAATGGAACAGTGAGCTGGCGTCCCATCGCTTGCTGAGCTAGGCTCTGACTCCCCCACAACCCTGACCTGGATAGAGCAGTTAGCCAATGGATGGATGTATTTGGAGCCGTCGTCTGAAACAAACCTTTAAAGGGAGAGAAAATGAAGCACCAGGTCCAGAGCCTGAAAGTCTGAAAGGCTCTGTTGCACTGAGCTGACCCTCTGCGCGTCAACAATCAATCATTACAGAAATATAAACTGCATCTCAAAATCACGAGCCGTGTTGCAAGTCAAAGTTCTGTTGTAAAGACTTCACGTTGCAAATGGGTGCTCTTCTTGTCCAAATGAGCCCCAGCATTAAACTGCCCTACGAAGACAGCAGGAGAAACATACTTCATCATGGGTAGAATTGTTAAGAACTTTTAAATCGCCAAACTGCAAGCAGAGAGCAGGCATTAAGACAAATGCTTTTAGGTGAGGAGTGTGAAGAAGAATTGATTGCAGCACATAATATTAAAAACTTGTGGTCCACTGTTTCCGCACAGATGCGCCCTACTGCTCTCGTTCATTTGAGCTCTGTGCGATCACGAAAACTCAGGTATCCAAAGGGGAAAAACTCGAGAGGCAGCAGAATTAAACCACACCCCTAGTTTGCTCCTTCAAATTTCTATTAGGAGTTTTTGCCTGAAAATAATCATGCCAAAAAATGCCTTTTGCTGCACCACTTTCAATATGCATTCACAGTGCATGTTGTAATATGTTTTATAACATGCAGGATAGAATTAAAAGCAAAGGAACAGGTGATTGAACTGCTCTGATGATTATCATGCTCATTATAACCGAGGTTAAAAAGCAGTGGGAACCTTTTGTGCAAAGTATTCCTATTGACACACCATGAGTGTGTATTCTACAAATCATCACGATTGTTAACCAAAGCAGGCTTTTACTGCAAATTTAATCACTGGCTTTATTTACAGCCCCCCTCCACAGCAGAAAGCAGACATATCAGCAGGGATTTTTATCATCCAGAGTCGAGCCTCCTTCACTCTCAGATATGAGAAGGCAGTGTGTGGGCGAGCCGGGGGTTACGAAATGCGTCTGCACGGAGTGTTCTTCCAGGAGAAGCATTTGCATTGTGAGAATCCGAACGGGAAAAAAAAAGGGCTAAAAAGGTGCAGCTCAATTTCAAAGAATCCTCATTATTTTATTTTTTTGATCCAACTGCTTCACGCAATCATTAATGAAGCACACAGTTACGTCGGCAGCCTTTCCAAAGAGACTAATAGCGTTCCTCCCCCCCCCCCAGACTTAAAAACTGCAGGCTATACTCTGCACACAATTGCAGGGCGATTAATTAATGAGCAGGACCTCTGCGATTCAGCCATCGAAGCTCATGGATGGCAAGCTCAGAGTTCACCTTCCTTGTCGTTTTTACCTCCATCCCAGAAACAAGAAAGATCCAGAGCAGTACAGCAGGGGAGATGGATTTAACATCTCGGAGGGGTGGGGGGTCTGTTAGGTGGTGGAGGAACTGATCTATTGATCATTATTTGAACTGACTCTGAATTGATCTCCAATGAGGGTAACATCTGGTAGAGAATTAGTGACTATTTTACAAGAGAAAAAACAAACACCCCCCCTTGAGTCTTGTTACAACTACAGCTGGATGATGCGACAGCAGGACTAGTGCACCAGTACACTCCCCACAGACCAGCACCAGAGGAGGACAGAGTGATGAAGCCAGTTCATAGATAGGGATTATTAGGAGGCCATGATTGGTAAAGGTCAGGGGGAGATTTGGCCAGGGTGCTGGGGTAACACCCCTACTCTTTTTGAGAGACACCCAGGGATTTTTAATGACAGAGAGTCAGGACCTCACTTTTACGTCTCATCCGAAGGACGGCGCCTTTTTACAGTATAGTGTCCCCGTCACTATACTTGGGCATTACCATCCACACACAGACCGCAGGGTGAGCGCCCCTACTCACCCACTAACAAATGCTGAGCTTCAGTGGGCTGCCATGGGTAAGTTGCAGGGGGATATAGGTGCTGGCATACAGCAGATGTGGCACCACTTTTCACAATGTTCTTTCAAAGGATAGTTGTCTCAGTCTAAAACCTTCAGTTTTACTAGTGAAAAAACATCTAAATGAGACCAATTGTTCAAGAGATTCCTAATCATCCTGCATGCCCATCATAACTAAGCCTTTTATCTGTAAAACCTTGGTTTATATTGCACTGTATTCTTGCACGACCCAGTTGTTAGAGTAGGTTTCTGAACATTACCGTTTATACAAAGTGTCTTTATGCGTTCTATAAAAACATTTAATACGAAAAACAAATTGAATACCGCCGAGCTCCAAGTCTTCAAACATCTTCTGGGTTTCACCTCCGGTATTGACAGTGCACTTTGTTCGCTGTCTCTAAACAGGCACCATTGATCTGATTCAACATGACAATACAAGTCAATAGTGGTTAAAAATATCCTTGAGCTGGGAAGAGTGTATTAAACTGAGAAGAAATCTATCATCCATGTCCTAACAGGAACATTTGGACACATTTTAACCTAACTGCTGCACAACTATTTTGCAGCACTCTCCCTGTATTTTAAATATATTCATAAGTATTCCAACTAGCCATGCTCTATGCACAGCAACAGATTCAGACAATATCTTGTAGCTAAAACTTGTGAATTTATTTGAAAATCTTAATTGCTGCTTAATATAAAAGTGCATATTTTAATCAATTACTATGGGGCTTTTTTGTAGGTACAGATTGCAAATACTTTTGACTGCACCAGAATACACAGAATACAGGCTTTGCAGGTGCTTTTCAAATCACAAAATCTAAATATAAGATCCGTCTTCCAATCGAATCAAAGACAGCACCGTGCAAAAGTACTCAAAGCGTTCAAACGATGTTCCTTTTTGTTGACCTACAAATGATACATCCCCAATCAAGCTTTTAATCAAAAACTGAATGCTCAAACTGAACTGAATATTAAAATTCATTTCACCAATGTACAGTAAGCGTTACATGTGAGCATTCAAGTTTTAACAAAAAGTATTGACTTTAAAAATGTGTATACATGTAGTTCAACAAAGCCTGACAGTGGAAGGGGGTGAATACTTTTGCAAGGCCCCGTAATTCAACTTGAGACATTAAGATCCAGAGTGGAATGAAAAACCGTAGGCTATGGGACTAGAGTTGCCCATCCCCAGTATATACAGTCACATACTGTACTAATGATCTTGTACTGTAACTTAACTGCATTGGACCTGAAGGACTCACAGCGTGAAGACCAGCTTAGCACAGGAGCCTGAGCTGACTGGCAGCTCCAAGCCTTCCCCCCTGCAGTGAAGGTGGCTCTGTCCGGAGCTTGAGTGGCATCATGGGACAGGGTTCTGAATGTAGGTTTTAATACAAGATAGAAGGACCTGTTACATTCATTTTTCAAAACTGTTGATGTTAAACATCTCTCTATTTTCGCTCTATTGCACATATACATCTCATATCTCCTCTTCAGCATAAGTGTCCTTGTTTATTATTGCTATTTGCGTTCCTCTTTCATTTATTGACCGCTGTGTCTGTAAAAACAAAAACCTGCTAACAATCCCCTTTCCAAAAGGTCCAGGTCTGACCAAGAAAACACCACATAAGAAATAGAGTAGCTGCACAATGCTCAAATGATCAAAGAACACAAGCATGCAAGTAAGTGTGAATACAAGTGTAAGGAATTATTATTCTTGTGTCATTCTCTTCCAAGTGGTACAGAAGCTGAAGCCACAAAAGCAGGGAGATATTCAGCTGTTGACTCCAGATTGAGTGGGTATAAAAACTAACTCTTGATTCCTAAAAAAGATGTTTTATTTAAAGAATTGACTTGTTTAAAACTTGAGTCACTTGACTTTTGGTCAAGTTATGTCCATTCTTTATTACACAGCTACAGCATGTAAAATACTTGTAAAGAAAGGGCTTAAAAACATGCTCACCTTGAACGGGATGTCTTTAAAATGACAAATGATTAGGTGATTGAAACTAAAGGCCCAGTATGACATGCAGTAAATATCCTTTCTATACGTATTGCTTGTGCAGCTCAGAAGTATGAACTCTGATTTTTGGCCCCATTTCAGTACACGGTAACACTGCCTCTCTCAGTGACTCCCTGCCCCAGGCCTATTACATGCTTCCTGCTAAATGGTTCTTGTCTCCTGGCTGTACCCCACCTGAAACATTATTATTTCTCCTGATAACCAGACGCAAAGAGTTCCCGACTTTGATAGCGGCACCTTATCCCAAATATCTCCTTAGGCCTGTAAGAATCCAAGGTGACGCTTGAAAAGAGTTTCGCTGCCTGTGGCCGACCTGTCCTTCCTCTATCAACATGACATTTGCTTTGCATGCTCCTGAGCTCATTAAGACACGGGATTAACAGACAAAGGACAGCAGCCCATGTTCTTGGATCCAGGCAGCACTAAGTGCACACAAGTGTGTTGCCATATTTCACACCACAAAGAAACTCCGTCTTTTCCTGCAATGCCTTTCAGCCTGTATAATATTTCCTCCCTTTGACAAGAACATTAGTCACCGTTGTTTAAAAGCATCAGAATCGCATTTACTTGTTCTGGAAACAGGGGACAATTACGTGCAGACACACCTGCATTCTGAATGTCAAGTGGACCTCCATTAAGAAGGCCACAACAAGCAAACAAGCTACATTTGGAGCTAATGTACATTTAAAGCACTGGTGATTACACCACATCACATTAAGCCACGGCCTGCCTCACTCTTGAAAACATAGATAAATATTGAAAAGTGTAGATATGAAAGCCTGCCAAGCAAATTGCACAAATAATCTAATATTAATATAAAGCAAACCTGGCCATCTGTCTTGCAGATATGTAGAGCGAAACAGTTTATTGTCTGTATTTCAGTGTTGGAGCATCCTGGGCCAAAGTCTTTCAGATCATTCTTTTCCTAGGTTTAGAGTTATAAAGAAGTCTGAATTCTGGAAAGGAGGGCAGCGTTTTTAAAATAAAGGCCCATTAGAGCACAAAGACTTTATATTTATGAGTATTTGTGCATTGTAAGGTGGTCGTATAACATCTATGTTGACTCAAACATAATTGGATGTTCAAGACATTGAGTAAACGACCTCTTTTGTGTTTAGCATAGTTTTCGAAACTTAAGAGAGGAAATCATTCTTCCACCTTCCCGCCCGTGGTGGCATTCTCCAAGAGCCAAAGAGCTTTCAAACAATACGAGCTTCCAAAAACACTGCCTGCGCATACTTTTCAGACTGACGGCAACAAAAAACAAAATTCTCAAAGAGAACCCCTTTTCATTTATCGCCGCCGCTCCCTTTGAAGTTGACTTTGCTGAATTTTTAGAAAAGCTGCTGTTACAAAGTCAAAGTGACTTTTTTTTTGGGGGGGAGGGGGATGGAAGTACAAAATTTCTCCCCTTTCGATGCATCTATAGTTAAAGCCGTTTCAGGTTGTAGTTCAACCAGTGTGGAAATGAGAGGTTGGGGGAGAAGGGAAGGAGGGGAGAGGGGGAAAGTTATCTGATAGGTTCGTTGCTACGCAACCAGGCAGTGCTGTTTGAAAGCATCAACATCTTCCATGTACTAAACGCTCAGTGCATAAAACATCGAGATAACAGCCCTATGCAAAAATCATAACTCATGGCCCATACACAGAATTTCAAACAAGTTCCAGAAATATTATTCATTGGCTCTGCCCTATACTTCTATCTTTGAGGCTCCATATTACAACCAAGCCGTAGCTAACGGTTGTAATGGCACAGTCTCAATCCAGGGACTGCTCGCAGAGAAAAGTAACCAGCACGGGACTGGACCACTGACAAGCAGTTATCTTTTCCATCTCATTGATTGTGTGGGGTTGTACAAAACGCGAGGGTGGATGTCAAACACAGGACCCACAAAAGCATTTATAACCTCGAAGGTGCAATTTCTTTATATGGTCGCGAACTGGCACCAAAGGAAGCCATAGCTGATTGGTTCAGTCAGTCTGGGCGAAAGGATTCATGCTGCACAGTAGCATTCGGCCTGCAGCTGTTCCTGACTTTATTGAAGTCAGGAGGCAGCCATGTTTATCTTGCCATAAATACATTTCCTGCTTTTGTTTTTCTACTCTTGTTAAGCAAGCACACCACAGAGAACGTAAGAGTATCCAATAATCACAGCACTACGGGCTGTGCTTATTCTAACAGCAAAAAAACGACTTTTCTTTTCCCGTTAAAACCGAGTTCTCTCCAAGAGTGGGCACTGACTGGCTAATGAAGAGCCTTTACAGGCAGTCCCCACTCAATAAGGCTGGAGAAGAACACTTCAATCTTTCAGAGTGGGGACACGTTTTTGTCACAAGCTTTCCAGCTTTGGCCTAATTACAAACTTGTTAAACCTAAGATGCTACACCACGAGATTAATCATTTCAGCAGGAGTCGTTTTTCATGCGAGCCCTCAGATGTCTCTCACCTGGCTTGCGGTTCTCTGAAGGCCTCTGAAGCATTTCGCATGAAGGGGAAATTGAAGGTACAATTTCTTTGGAAAGCTATCAATTTACAGCCCTTCCAGAGAAACCTCGGTCACTGAATTGGTCAGATCATTACATGAAGTTTTCAAAACATTGTGGTTTCTGGGTTTTTTTTTGTTCACAGAAGTTTATTTTTGAACTTATTTGTTGGAAGAAAAAAGGACTCCAACCCCCCCCTCTGAAGCCTCTGCCCCATGCCTGGCTACAATCTACATGTTATGTAACTGGTTTATTTTATTTCTATATTATTTTAGACATTTTCTTATTCTATACACCTGTATGGAGTCCAGATCTTACTAGACTTAACCACAATAATAACAACCCAGAGACAAAAACACTTCCTACTCCTTTAAATATCTGAATTACTCTAGAGCTTACAAAAGCAAGCAACACAGCACTCATTTCAGGTCTTTTCTTTTCCTTGTACTGATGGAGAGGTTTGAAAAAGAGCAGACAAGGGAGTTCAGAGATAACCAGTTTCAATGTGTCTGGAATACATATAGAAAGCAATTCAAAAGTTGCTGTCTTCTTTTGATTCCATGTCAAACATGTTTATGATGGGGATGGTTTGGGGCTTAAATCCTGCCACATTGTTCCCAGTTCACTGCAGAAAAACGCTTTTGCAATATTTTATTTAGGGTCATGGAGACCAGTGCTGACCTGCCTGCTGCACTCGGTGCTCTTCAAAATGAAACCCCATGGATTTGACTGGAAAACACCAAGAAAAATCACAGTTTCATTCCTTTGCTCTTCAGAACTTTCTGTACAAGAGCACGTACAGTATGTCTTAAAGTGCAAGTAGCTGAGCTGTGAAATGATAGCATTAAATGTGTAAATATTTTAAGTACTTAAGCAAAATTTCTCTCTTCATACTAACAAGATTTTATATTTAAATGCTTAAGATATTAGCTAGCAGCCAGCTACCTAGCTAGCTCTCTGTCTGAGGTCACTCATAGCCGAGAAATCCTTCCAAAGCATTAACACCAGCAGACAACCCTTTCCATTTAGGTTGTAATTAACATCCGACAACCTCAATAACACTGCTTCTGCACTTCCAAGAATTCCTGGGGGATGTAACAGACAACAGGACATTGTTCTCATCTGTGATGGAGAAACAGTACGATGAGTCCAATACAAGCCCAATGGAGGGAGATGGGTGGGTCAAAGACACTGGCACGATCTCTAGGAGCGAACAAGTCTCTGGTACAGGAAAGGGCAGTGGGATTAGAGCTTGGACACAAGGATATAGGATGGACCCTCCATGTAACCCCACTGGCTGCAGCATGGTCTGCTCCTGCACCAGGGCCACAGCCAAGCCTGCACCTGAGTGATGTCACATTGTCACATCTCTTACCAGTTGAAGACGGCCTACCCTGTTTGGTACACGCATGTACAAAGGGCAGAGAAAATCTTCTGGATGATTAATGCATCCACTTTCTACTTTCCACTTCTTTTAAGTCAGGGTCGCGAGGAGCCAGAGCCTATCCCAGCAAGCAATGTCCGCAAGGCAGGGTACACCCTGGATGGGACGCCAGTTCATCACAGGGCATGGATGATGAATGCCTTCAAGGAAATGAACTAGTAACGACTTCCTGTAACACACAATTCAACATACAAATCAGCATACTACTCTCAACTACTGATTATGAATTTCCTAGTATCCTGCTAGTTAGAGGAATTCTGGAGATGATCACAACAGAAAGACAATGGGGGTAGTCTGCGTGAAGTTTTAGATGCTGTTTGCACATCTTTCGCAAGCACTTGAAAATCATCAATTGCAGGAAACTAAAATTAAAAAAATTGAAGTGCAGCTTCTGAAGTGTACAGTTCCAACTGAAGTGCACTGTGGAAATGCAATTCCTCCACAGTGTTGGTCCTGTTTTCAGATACTTCCTTCTTCAGCATGTAAAATGAATGCCATCATCAACACAATAAAACATTTGATCACATGTGCAAAACAAATTGATCTTTGCTTGTTTTTTTCGTCTCTCCAAGCATTAGCAGTTCTGCTTAATCAGCAATTAAGAACTCCAAAGAGGAATGCAACTCTTTGTTTGTTTCTTGCACATTTTCTCACTGTAGAGAACACAGACACATGACCGCACACACTGCACACACACACACAGGTGTACAGAAACCAAAGCTTTTTTCTTAACACCTTTGGTAATTCATTTCATCCCAGGAGAAACAGCACAATACTCCGTATTTAAAATAGGCACTCTCCCTTCTCTCCTGAGAGTCATCTAGTCTTTCATTAGAACTTTGCCCATCATAAACAAGCCTGCTCCCCCTGGTTTCACCACTAGAAAGGCAAAGTGGGCAATTATTTAAAAGAAAAGCCACTTTATATAGTCTTTTATATAAAAAAAAACATATATTGCAATTGAAATATTTTTATATTTCTGTAATAAATCATCCTTCAAGAGTGTCCACCCACACCGTTCCAGTTCCCAAATTAGGAAGCACAAAAGGTGCATAAAATCTTGCCTTTCTCCTTCTTTCAATAACTCACTTCTGTGAGCAATGTACACCTTACCGAGGAGAAAAAAATCCTCAGCGTCAACTATCCTATTGCAATACAATTCATCACTCCAGCATCTAGCTTTGTACTGATGCACTGAAATGAGATTCCACTGAACGACGGCACTGTATGGTAATATTGTGAAGTGAATTTCCAGCAGGGGCTTCATACTGAAGGTTACGTCACGCGCCTGCATGCTTCTCCCCTCTGTATCTCTCCTCTCTTCCTGTAAGTCAGATCCCCCCCACGTACACAGACACTGGCTCAAGCCTTCACATTACACCCTCCAGAATCCGGACTGAATCCAGCTCACATGGATTCATTTTTGTCAACAACCAGACAGTACCCCCACCTCCATTATAAGAAAGGATCACAGAAGACCCCCATTATAAAAAGACAGGATAAGAAGGCTGAGCACAGGTGTCGTTTCCCTTCAGAATTCGCCCTAGGAAATTCATCTGACATTCCTCTCACAGGCACAAAGCTTTGATCTTTCCTGTTGCACAGACTTTGGGATGCCTTGCATTTCCAGTCGATGTGTGGAATGAGCGTGGCTGGGACTCTGGCTAAAACCTGATCCGCAGTAAACAGAGCGCAGATGAGCCGACAGCCAAGGACAGCAGTCATTACATGGAGCAGATCTCCCTTCCCAGACCTGGAAGGTCAGAGTTTAGAGAGAGGGGGAGAAAAGAGACTATCAAAGAAATTTCACTGCTGCGAGCAGCTCTCTACGTACTATTGCGAAGGAGAGAGGAAAAGTGGCTCTGCACTTCTTTGTCTACAACCTTCAAAGCGTTGGAGGTGTAGCCACAGCACGCGCTGCGGCGTTTGAAATATATATTTCATTGCCTGTGGGATTTTACTCTGCTGCCTCTCATATTATGCAATTCGCTTTTATTGACCTGGGTTGTTTCGGTTGTTCCACAGCAATTTTTTATTTTTTTCTCATAAAGTTGCCCCTCGGGCAATTTCTCAATATTATGAACTTCTTTATTGGCTAACCTCCCGCTGTACATTGGTGTTTTTGGAGTGAAATCCAATCTATATGGCTGGGACTCCAGCTCCCTGCCTATGTGTGTTTTGATAACAAGCATAATAATGATTAGATTTCTGGAAGGATCATTTATACTGTATCACCAAAGTGCTCTTCGGGATCTAAAGGAAAAATGATTTACTGGGAAGCACACTGTTTTCACGGATTCTATCCCTAACTTCCAATCCAAAGATTCCCTTTCCCTAATGGGGAAGATGTGAATCCCATGCACAGACACTGAATTCACTTCACATTTTAAGAGTTTTGACACACTGTACCACTCAATCAAAAACCCACCCGGTGCACTCAGTATTTTCATTTTGGACACCTGTCCCTGTAAATTCACACAAACAAGGTGTGAAACGGACAAAGCCATAGCAGGTGCTGGAGAAGAGCTGCAGCTTGTGAAACTCAAAATAGATCAAACGGTGAAGCAAGCCCTTGGAGAGTCAGGAGCTCACTTTATATGAAGCAACAGGAGCAACTGAGGCATTGGAGGATGCACAGGTCTGTGGACTTTCAGGAACCACAGAACATGCTGAAGAAGGAAGATCCCCCACTGGCCAGGATCGGGAAACAGGACTAACACTGTGGAGGAGAGAAAAAGGAGAACAACTCTCTCGCAGGAAGAAGATCTAGGGTTCAGAGAAACCTGCAGCTAGAGTAAAGAGCATATGTACATGTACACTGGAATTCTTGTGCTTTTATTCTTATGCTCTTTAAGCTTTAGGTTTTTGCTCAGTCAGGTCACCTATGTTACCCCACATATTCTTCAAACGGGAGTTTATCAGAAAGTGGAAGAGGCAAGGAGCCCTTCACATGCTCCTTATTTGTGCTCAATTGCGAAAGAACACGGTTTTAATTCATACGTTCTGAAGACCAAACTTTTTATTAAACAATACTCCGGATTTGAGTTCACCTTTTTAAAGTGAACGTTTCAACAGCACTTCCAGGACTCTATGACCCCACATAATCACCCGACCTGATTGAAACAAGTACATTAAAGAGCCTCGTTGTGAATTAATGAAATAAAATGTATATAAAATCAGAAAAAAACTTCTCATTTATGTACTGTACACAGAAGTTTTAAAGGATTTTACATGTGTTTTAAAACTCTACACCTCCAAGGTGGTCTTTTCTACCATTGGGATGAATGCTATAATTTCTGACAATCTGTCACTGCTGTTACATAGCAACATGAACAGTAAACAAGACTTAATGCATTTCTTCTGCAAAGTGAGTTGAGCACCTGGGGATCTGTAGGCATTTAAAACATCACCTGGGTCAGTCACTGCTACCGATTCTTCAGGGAGAGCGAGGGATCCAGTTCCAAATTTAACTTGGAAAACACTCCAAGTGAGCTTGTTTTTCAGTGCTAAGTGAATCACAATTGCAAAACGTTCCAATTCATTCGAAGCTGAATTCAAAATCTCGCATCGTCACAAATGTTCATGTTTCGTTATAAATGAATTAAATCAGTTGCATTTTCCATCCCAAAGGATCTCAAAGCATTTTGCATGCAAGTGGAGACACACCTTACCTGCCTCAGAAAGTGCAGCCTCCAGCTGGGTGAGACAGTAGCCAATCTGTACCAACAGACCACTGCAGAGCAGATCTCCTTGCAGGGACACAGGCTTAGAAATTCTTGCCCAGGGGTAAGAGGACCACCTACTGGTCCACCAACACCGCTTACAGCAGCTACCATGTTATTCTTAGAGGCCTGCCATTCCGGTACTGCCATTCCAGGTTCAGTCCAGTTTTTGTTTTAATTCTGCCTTCACAGGACATACACATTATTTACCCCATTGTTAAGTAAAGATATAAAGATGACTCAAGTCATCTTTAGCATCCCGTGTAGGAGGATATTTGCCAGTCATCCTAAGGGCAAAGGAAGATGCTATCAATCTAATTTAGAAAACATGACCACAAACTACAGGCCTAAATTCCAACTTAGCAACAAATCCAGGTCATGCCCTTTTCTTCCCAGCATGCACTCACTGGCGTTTCTTTGCCTGAACGTTCACTGCTGTACTGCTCCTGCACTGACCTCTCAGCTGTGAAGAACTCGTGGAAAGACTGTCCTCCCTCTGGCAGACAGCTTTGGGCCAGAGAAAGCATCTAACCTCCTCACATCCTTACAGAAAAAGAAATAGGACTTGCATCACCCATTACCTTGAGTCTTTGCAGATTTCCTGAGCTGCAGGATTTCCATTCTGCATTCGGTCTTGTGCATTTCCTTTTTGTGACCTCACAATAAATTCCATAGACAGAAATGTGGAGTTAAAATGTCTACATCTGCGTTTTCAACACATGATATACAAAAGCTTGCAACTCTACACTCCTGAAACAGAGAGAACTGTAGTCCAAGGGGAGTGTATTTACCTTCACGTCACATCGAAACAGTTATGGCTCCCGAAATTTGCGAACGTAATTCCCTAACGTAATTTTACAGGTCACTCTTGTTCTTGTGCAGGTTTTGTCAAAGGAGGGCAGCCCGGATTACGAATGATCACCTGTTTCGAACGAGGACAAGTGGAATACAAAGCTCAGCCACCACAATGAAATCACAGAAAATTAGCTGTTCTCCCGTCTCGAAATGAACAGTCTCTGGGTGGACACAAGGACAATCCCTGCATCCACATGCAGAAGACGTGCTGTTAAGAGTTTACCTTACATCTGGAGCTGTCCTGGGTGCTGCTGGAATATCCCCTGAAGGCAGTTTTGAGACGCCAGAACTTTTTCACTAGCACTGCTTTCTATTGGCGTCATTAGCAGTGTTCAGAGTGAGTGAACCTTTCCCTGGAAATGAAGGGCTCTACAGCGACACAGGACAAAAATATTGAACCAGCACAATCTGCCTCTCCCGTAACCATATTCCATACAGAATTCCATACTCATACTCCCCACATGTGCTGTACAACAGTAGATTTTTTGCACTGTTTCCATACAGATATTTCTTTAGAGAAATAATAAGTAGACTCTCACATTTTGAAATACAAGGTCCCCACTTAGGAAGGGTGAGGTCATCCTCTTAATTAATCCTTGGGACATTTCCATGACACTTCACAAAGTAATTACACTGGAGGGAGAAAAAAAAGATAGGTAGTGAACAGGAATAACCCTCCCACTAACTAGCCATTTGATTCCTGTTGTGTTTCAGGAGAGGTGACCTTTTGTGCACATTATTGCTGCATTTGCTCTATGTGTTTTTATTGCTATTTCCACACATCTGTACTGTATATGTACATTTACACGATAAAATAAGGGCACTCAGCATATTTCCCACTCAGATTTTTCCATCCTCAAATATGGCTTCTGGAACACGGTGCTCCTTCTCTGTCAGGGTAAAATAAATATATAAGGGATATAAATTCCCTTTTTTCTCTGCACCGCGTTTCCCCACCAGAAAAGAAACATGCAATTGGATGTGACAAGATGCTTTTAATCTCCTGAATCCAGCTTCAAACAGGTTGAGGTTCTTTTTTCCAAAGACGTTATGGGTGTTACAGGAAAAGGACAAGTCATCTCTCCCAGTGCCTATGCTAGGAGATAAATAAACCAGCACTGCAAATACAGACAATGCCCTGTGCCTTTTGGAGTTTCAGGTTGTGAATACTCAATTCAGCATTTAAGGGACCATTTCTGGGATTAAATTGCACGTTGCTACGCATGTGAAACTATGCGGTTCTGCTCCCTTCATTTTTCGAGAAAAAATTAATTTGTTCCAGGCCAGCATGTGTCCTCCTCATAATATTGAAACAGGCAATTTTAAGAGCTACTGAAATATTCTGCAAAACAGACAGCAAGATCAAAGGGGCTCAGTCCCTTTGGAGATAACCTCATGACCTTACTCAAACGCATCTAAGCAGTAATGCACCAGATGGTGCATTCAGGCTTTAAACATTCTACTTTTTAATGCTCAGAAATAAAATTCCAGCTTCCTCTTTTAGCTACCATTCAGAAGCCAAATGGGCATTTATCATTATAGAAGGCTTATCACTGCTGTCTCCAACAGCATTCCCATTAACGAGCACATTTGGCACTTTCTGCAGGTGAACCTTTTCCCTCTGTAACTAAATCCATTAAGGCAGTTGAATTCTCCTGGTCTGAGGTTTAATTCTATTTCCCAAATGATTTAAACCGCAGGCACGCTCAATAACGTCAGCTATAAAATTAAAGTGCAACACTGATCTTGCTGTTATTTAGTTTGGTTGAATAACTAGTGCCTGTTAACAAAACCTAAGTTGATTAGTCCGGGAAGTGACAGCCTCTCACTCCTCTCTCATACTTGCTTGGTGATGGAAGAGCTAATTACAGGATGGATTGTTCTAAGGAAACACCACTGTCCTCGAGTCAAACCCAGTATACTAATGATCAGAAAGTAAAGTCCCCACCAAGACTGACTAAAATGTGCTTGCTCTGTTAAATGCAAGTCAGAGTCTAAAGATGAAAAGAAAGTAAAAGGCAGAATGTGTGCGTCTTACTTTAAGCTCTCTTCTAGAGGTCAAGAGGAATGACATTTCTCTTCTGAGAAAATTAATTTGAAGGGCAAAGGCTGGGCACACACTGACAGGACAGCACTTTCCACACATTTGCTGCAACTTGCACAGCTCTTCAAATCTGTCTGAGAAACTGCTCAGCCTTTCCTTCCCATAATCTCCCGGATTACTCCTTGACAAAACACTCCAGTTGACCACAGAATGTCCTAGCCAGCATGACAACGCTACCAGTCGGCCCCTGTGTGGACAGAACAGAGGCACACAGGCACAGACAGGGGGAAAAAAAATCTGGCAGTTATCCCAGGATGGTGCGTTATTGTTCCTAATCGAGGCTAAAAGGAATCAGAAAAGATTCTCCTACTAATACAACAGCAAAAGAATAGGATAAAGTAAAATATCTGTGGGATAGTAGTAAAAACATGCTTCAAGCCTCAGAGGGACAAAGCTCTATATTAAATAGTATTAGAAGAGAAAAGGCAGACAAGATTCAGGTCTCAGAAACACTTAAATTAACAATTTACAGGGCACGATTGCATTTTGCTAGTGGGTAATACCCACTAAACGGAAACTTGCTTATATAGTTTCCATCCATAAAAAGGGAGACAATTATGAACCCAACACTTCTACAACAATAACCAAGTTCTATTACATGTAAGATTATAGAAGGAATACTTTCACCTACTGTTACGGAAGTAGGAACCTGAGGTATAATCGACATGAGTTTGGCCAAGTTAGGTCTTTACTAACTAGAGTTAGCTGAACAAACATCAGCAGTGATGGACAAAATATACAATATGGTATATGAAGATTTTGAGAAGATAGAAAACAGTACAAATAGGGGTGACTGCTTGGAATGGGGGAAATGTGTGTAGTAACAGGGCTCTATATTAGGAGCAATTGTCTTCCTGATTTACATCAGTAGTCACAGTTGTGGACGATAGCAAATTAGGAGAGTGAGTAAACACTGAGGAAGCAGCACATTAAATTCAAAGATTGACAGTAACTTGAATTCAAGACTGGGCACACACCTGGCTGATACTTAACGTAGACTAGTGCAGAGTATTAGATAAAAGAGGAAAACAACGACCCTGAAGAGGCTGCTTATGAAAAAGACTAGACAGTGTGGGGAAGGAATCAAAAAGGGAAACCAAACGTTAAAATATATAGATAACAGCATAACACGTAAATCTAGGCATTTTAAAATTGTACAATGCATACTGTATGACCTCTTCTGAATATGGTGTACTGTACTTCAGAATCAATGGTGAAACACAAAACAGGACATAAGTGAAAACTACTGAAGTGTATTGAAACCCAACAACAGGAAGCAATTCTTTAAGAAAAGAGTTGTGGGAATGTGAAATAAGCTACCCAGCCATGGCATTGTAGCCCATACCCTGTCTACTTTCAAGAAACAGCTGGGAGAGATCCTTGAATCAATTACCTGCTAATTACTTAATACGCTCCTCTCACATGTAACCATTGTGTTCCTAGTGTATATAATGTGAACGATTGTAGGCAGTAAAGTTATGTTTTACTGGATGGTCATGTTGCTGTTCATGGATTTGCTTTTAGCTATCAGTCACAGCAGCAGAAAGCACAACAAAAAGGTGTGCAATGTATAAACTTCCTGACCTGTTTGAAGTCTGAAGATCTGTGTATTTCAGATAAGGCACTTCATACTAACAAAGACAGAAAAGAGTTAAAAGATCAAGTCTTGACTTGCTTTCTCGTCTTTTTTTCTGCAACCAGCTCCAGCTCCTTCCAATAACCTACTGCTCATTCCAGCAAAGTCAAGGAGTTTTAGGCATCATCTCAATTGTGAACAATATATTATTCTGCGCAGTCAGGGAAGACAATGACAGAGGAAAGTTAGAATTGCTCTTTTCAAAAGAAATCCTATAATCTCCCAATCTGGTGTAAATTCTTTCCAGACATATGATCACTTAAGAATTTCCCCTTTCAAAGTAGCATACAATAAGAGTGGTAGCCTTGGACAGCCTGGTTTGTGTACTGTTGTGAGTTTTAAAAAACCATAAAGCAATACATACATTTCAGTAAATGAACAAACACTATTTGTATAAAAAAATACTAATACTCAAGTTTAAGAAATGCAAAACAGAATTGCAAAGAAATGCATTTTTATGAGAAATGCCTCACTCTACATTAAACACCAGAGCATGAAGGCAGCGAGATTGAAATCATTGTTTTTTCCTGATTAGAGTGCTTTTATGCCTTAAACTCAGGGGTGCGCTATTCCCTTGATTCATTAACTCTGAGAGCACTCACAAGCCTGAGCAAATTGACGCAAACAGATTTGCTGTCGACCCGATGACTTGAGCTTTAGACAGGACATTACCATCACCTTGCTGCACTTCATCGACAGCTGGTAGATTTTCCTGCAATTACTCTGAGAATCTAGAATCTAATTACTTTTAAATTATAGCGGCTTGACTTCATAACAATTTCATAATTCGTCCTGGAGGGAAACAGGGTTAATTGCACATCTCTTCTTGTACCGATGTGAGCGTTCACTGGGAGTACCCTGGTGTCAATCGAGATTGATATTGCCCAGGAAAATCCAGTGTTCAGAGCTTGAGAGCTTCTGACTGTACACCTGAGCCTTACTGACAGCTGCCTTTCCAAGCAGCTCGAATTTAGACCCATTTCAGCACATACCCGGGCGAGCACTTTCAAAACCTAATAACTACGGGAGCCCGATGTTGGGAATTGTCTTTGTAGATTTCATTTCAACGTGCAATAGCATTGCACTAGTAATTCCGGGATGAAAACCCTGTGATGTAATTCCAAAAGAAGAAGTTTAATTAACCCCAATGGGATTCCCAGTGTATTGTCAGAACCATGCTGTGCTGGGGCAGTATGAAAAAAAGAGCTTTATTTTTCGGAATTTGGTCAACAGCCAGATCTTTCAATTTCCAATCCAAACTCCAACTAGTGCTGTGGCTGCAACTGCAATATACCGTCCCAATTCTAATAGCTTTTAAAGTTTTTTGTGAATGACATCTCAATAGTTTGCCCATCCATGTTGTTAAGGATTACACCATTCTTTCAAGAATGTCATGTATAATCTCCATCTCTGAACAGCTCTCCTCCCCACTGAGAGCTGGTGTGTGGTGAGCGTACTGGTGCACTATGGCTGCCGTCACATCATCCAGGTGGGGCTGCACACTGGTGGTGGTGGAGGGGAGTCCCCTTTACCTGTAAAGCGCTTTGAGTGGAGTGTCCAGAAAAACACCATTTAAGTGTGAGTTATTATTAATATAATTAATGATTGATAATAATAATAACAATCTTCTCAGTGAACTGTTTCACATCTGTTCCAAACCTAGACTGCTGATAACTAAAATTACATGTTCTCCCCCTGTGTGGAACCTTTTTCATGTTCTTATTTCAAGATAAGTCCTTTTATCCTGTCTTTCCTAAACATTTGCCGCCAAGCCTAAATTCTAAACTGTCCTCAGTCGACTTCCAGCCTGTTTCATTGTAAAAGGCTTGTCCAGATTGCTTAAATCAGACAAGAGCAGGAAAATCGTTTACAGAAAACATGGTCTGCAGTAACATACTTTTGCCAGCCAGGTAAATCTAACCAAATAAAAAAAGGCACATTCATTAGTGTTTAGTTGTTAGTCTTGTAGGGGTTATATGAAGAGCTGCTCTTTATTTCTGATTGACAGATATCCGGTACAACAGCTCAGGAGTGAGGTGGCTTAAGGACACTGAGCTGATGGAGGGCTCTAACTGTTCCACAGTTTCAGCCAGAAGCTCCAGGCAATGTCTGCTTATGTTTCTCAATGCAACAGCAGAGTATATTCACTCATTTCTTGTCTTCCGAGCTACTGAGTAGGCAGGCAGGACAGTGTTGAGCTCTGACTCAGTGCTTTCCACAGGAGGCTCATTGAGGATGAACACAGCTGAGGATTCCCAGCTTAATTACCGCAGCTATAAATATTGCATAGGTGCAACAGCTATGTGCTTCTGTTGTTTACGTTTCTCAGACATATACAATCCATAGGGAGAGTAGTCCTGACTGTCAGCAGGCACCTTATTAAAATGCAAATTCAAAATTAAAAGGGCTCTCTTTTGGGGGCTTGAGGAGAGGTGAAATCAGCGTGCTTGTACCCTACAGAGGACCGGTATCGAGCTGTGCGAGGTGTCTCCTGTTTTTTCTCACATGAAATAGATGGGTCTTTGTATCGACACGTCACTTACATCTTCTGGTCAATGTGGGCAAGCTATTAAAAAGGCAAACCAAATACTGTGTTTAACATATGTGTGAAAAAGTGTAGAATTTCAATCAATTTCAAAACATTCAGCTTAGGTGAAATCAGGGGCCCTGTGAACATTTTCAATTATATTTGGCTGCAGTAGGAATTGTATGGAATGTCTTTTGACACCCCTCACCTCCATACTCAGACAGCCCTGTTGTGTGATCACAGAACGCCTGCACTTGACCTAACATTTCTGTGCTTAATGTCCTAAAACACACCACTTTAAGACATAGTGACTGTTAAATGTCACAGTATGTCAATACAGAAGAATCGGAGCAGTGCAGGGTTGTACTGTTGTACAAGAGCAGCACACATGGTAGCAGCAACAAGCCAGAAAGGAGACAACTGTCATTATTCCTCAGGTGACCTTTTCTCTTCACTCCAGGCTTTCCTCCCTCATGTAGATACTGTGGGGATCCAGTTCTAAAATTGTGGCTCAAGATGAGCAAGACTCGAGATGTAATGGCTCAGATTTCCTTAAACAATAGCACACCCTGCTTCACTGCCATAGATATCTACTTATATAATAGAAGCCTGAACTATAGGTAATTAAACACTTTGAGACTTAATGAGGCAGACATGAATTTGCTGCTATAGTCTTATATTTAGCAATGAATCTTTTCTTCTAATTATACTGATCTTTTAAAAACTTTATGAACTGCCGGGTCCTGGTATTCTATGTTGCAGATGCTTAGAGGTGGCTGGTATATTAGGTTAAAAAAGCATCCCAGTGACATCCCCAAAATTGAAGACCCCTTCCCCTCCCTCCAGGGCACATGACATTTTGTTGACATTTTTCTTGTGTGGACACTTAGAGGATAACCTGGAAACATCTCCTGCAAATGTCAACAGATGTCAATGAAATGACAATAACCGTTTAGACTGCATTAATTAGAGATCGGTCTAGAAACCACAAGTGGCATGTACCCATCGCAGCCCAATCAGAAAAACCACAACACAATCCCAAAGAAAAAAAACTGGCCCCCCGATACTGACACTTCCTAAAGCGCGGCTAACTCCGGAGCAGTCTCGGGCAACCAAAACAAAGCCTGGAAACGGCACAGAAATGTACATGCGGGGCCACCATTGTCAAAGTGCGAGAAGAGTAATGAACAGAACGTCTCTGCTGGTCCTACAAAACTGCCTTTGAAAGTAGAACAGGGAGATTTGTCTAATAATAGGGGCTCCAAGTCAGAGACCCTCAGAGGGACAAGAGCGACAATTGAGGGCAGCTCAAAGTGGGGCAGTGCAAGGCTCTGCGCCGCCAGACCCCGTTCTGTGACTTTGAGGGACACTGCTCATCCTGGGGGGATGGCAGCCCTTTGTGCATTAATAGTCTACACAAGTCTATCTGCCTACTCGAGCCCATCCCTGCAAATCTTTGATATTTAAGAGTGCATCTGCAGCCACTTGCCCTGATCCCTTTTTTGCCTCTTTGCTTTTTGGATTTTGCAGCCTCACTGCACTGAGTTCTCCTTGCTCTGGTTTAACCCCTGCTCGGCAAGCTTTGTTCCAGTAGCTCAGACGCATTCTAATGAAAGTTAATGAAAAGAGTTTATGAATATAAAGGGAAAGCATACTTATATATATTGTAAGAGGACCCGGGGAAGGGTCAACTCTAACCGGTATTTCCGGAACGAAACACTGAAAATACTAGAGATGGACCTTAGCAAAATGGCGGCCAAAAAGAATCAGCTGACCAGTAAATGGAAAGGGGCTACCCTAAGAAACAATGAGACACAGCTGAGCCGCATCAGGAGCCGAAATATAAGTGCCCCGGAGGCAGTGAACAGGGCGGAAGCCGATAAGGTGAATGCGGTTTGGAGGAAAAGAGAGGAAAGAGGTGCATGTTAAGATCGGGCTAAAGAATAACGGACTACTGAAAGGAGAACAGGTTTACGGTTTTGGAACTCGGATCGGATCAGGATTAAGGGAACGGATTACGGACTGTATTTGGAAGATAGGTGGAGGACGAAACGCCACGAAACTCAGGAAAGAAAAGTGTGGTGTGAGTACTACTTTCATTTACATAAACTTTCCCCCGGAGACACCACAATATATATATATATTTTTTAGAATCAATAAGCCTTCGGCGTTAAAAGGTCTGTTAAAAGGTCTGTCACCGTCCTCTTCACTTACTAGGAATGAGTCAGGGAGACAGCTACAAGGGTGAAGATGGGGTGGAGGGAACTTTTCTAGAAAAGCATGCATGCTGAGTTGCTATTTGTAGCAACCTGTTATTTGTACTTTAAGATAGTAGATACAAGATTACAATCTACCTTCCTCCTGGTTTTCTCTTTAACAACAACACGTGCTCACACAGCAACAAAAAGTTTGTTATTACCTACCGAGAGCAATGCACGTTTGTAGGTTGACGAAGTGTTTGCGGACTCATTCATGTTCTTCAGCACCCCTCCAGAAATTCCTTGCTGTGCGAGACGCTCTCTATCCGCTCTCTACAGAAGACCTAGAAAAAATGTGACAAAAACAAAGCCGTGATTGAAACTGTGAGCCTCACAATCATGCATAAATAAGCCAGAAAAAATGGAATTCAGTTGAAAAACCTAGAAATCATGGCTTCATTCAAAGTACCAGAATTGAAAGCAAGGTGGATAAAAAACTATAACATTGCATTATCTACCAGCAATAGAAGAATTTAAAATTTAGCCCACATAATTGCAGGAGTTAATTTAGAAAAGTACACCTGAATGACAATCACTGAATACATTTTACCATCTAGTATTTTTGTATCACCGTGCCATTTTGACGAATTAAAAAAAAATAGGTTGCAGAATAAATCTGAAATCATAATTTTTTCCACGGAAGTGGAGAATCAGGGGGAATCGCGGAGACTCACAGGGGATTGGAAGGGATCTGATGTTTCGTAACTTTTCAGCACACTGGTCGTGCAGTACATTTTCTTTTTCCATTTCAGAAACAGCGCTCCTAAAATAGTAATGAGGGAGGCTGAGAATAGATCCAAAGTAATAACAGCAGTGGGCAAGGAGGACTGGAAAGGTCTGTGAGGGCCTGCGGCCTCCATCATGTCACACGCTCACAGCCAGCACAGTTTGGCACTTCTCTGAAGCTCAGCCCCACCTCCTGCTCCCTCAACAGAGCCAAGGGGCTCAGGGCTGCGTCCCCCAAGTGTCTCCTGCACTGTCTGTCGTCACAGCCCTCGCAGATGAAAACAAGCCTGCTTCCCCTCCCTTACGGATGGCTATGGATGCGTTATAAGGATGCGTTTTACATGCAATGGCACATCAGCAACAATCTCATCAGCAGCACAATTTTTTATGAGCTCTTAAGGAAGAACAAAACCCTTAAATGCCTACCACTATCACTTCTGTACTGAATCACTGCTAATTCAAATTAGATCAGGGATGTCAGATTCCAGTCCTGGAGGGCCGAGTGTCATCTGGGTTTTGTTCCACGTTGAGTGGTCAATTAATCAATTAACCTGATTGCTTCATTAGACGAGTGGGATTTTTTCTGAAGGGCTTTTGAAGCCAATTACTCAAAGCATTCACTTCATTAAATTCAGCAGAGTGATGTTTATTGTCAGACGATACGAAAGAACTTAAAAAAATTAAAGCTATGTGAAAACTTGAAGCTTGGTTGGAAAAAGGCAATTACATAGTTAAAGCAAATATGCAACCTAAAGCTCGGGAAACAAGAAGACTTTATACCTTACAGGAGCTGAGTTTGAACCCCCTATAATAAAATCTCTTTTCTTTACTAGTTTACTAACAGTTTGCAGTTGCTGAGGTGTGTCTCAATCTTCTATAAGGCTACTAAAATCTAAATATTTGATTATATATTTTTTTTAAATAAACTGTGCAGGCACATGTCACATCACCATGAACTCTTCACCACCAGCATGTTACTTTAGTTTTTCTGTATTTTATGTGCTCAGTCGTTCACCTGGGATGTAAGCTCTTATTTGTTCTCCTTTCAGGGAAGTCTGCCAAGTTCTTCCTTTCAGGTTGCTCTTTACTTGATTCAAAGCAAAGACACTAGATGTGCTCACTAACTCTTCGCTCTTGGTCTTCATTAGGCACTAAACACTGCACATGCTCATCACATCAATTAGATTTTCTCATCAGTTCATCACTCTGTATTCATTAATCACCAGGCACTGAAGGATCAACTTATTTAACTTCATGGCACCCAGTTCTTAATCTTCACTAATCTCTATTCACTAACAATCAGGCACGGAGTATTTAATTTGACTCTGTCACCCAATAACAGTCTTCATTAAATTCACTTCACCATAGCCAGGCAACACAGAATTCAGCTCTATTAACTCTACATTGCCCAGTTGCAGTCTACTCTAAAATTATCACTTCCACTCTAATCTCTGCTGTTGTTTTCACTAACAACTATTAACTTATTGCTAACGATAGTGGCTAATCCTTTTTGGCCAGAGACACCTGTCTGTAAACAACATCCCTGACATACTTTTTGGTTCTAATCTCATGTTCTGACATCGCTCATCTGTCTGCTGATGTTAATGCATAGGGAGTACACAGGACTCATCTATACTTCCCTCTCACTCTCAGCTGTGGGGAAGAAGGTACTGTATGCTGCTACCTCACTACACAGTGCAGTACAAGCTAAGCTATATTTTCTCAAACATCCCTCACTTGCCGAGCTACACAGGTCTGTAAGGCAGCTCAGTCCATTGTTAATGAGATCTCCCACTCTGGAGCTCTCAAACTCATTCCTTTTAGGCTGTAGCCTAAACACAGACTGAAACTTTTTTCCTCTTAACTGTTCTTATAGATCTCTTAATTAGCCCAGATGCATGGCCAATTCCTCCACAGCCTATCCTATGAGATCATTTCCCTCATATGGAATTTTACCCCTTCTCTGAGCCAATTATTCAATTTGCCCCCAGATGTGCCTCATTTTTTTCCTCAGTTTCCTTTCCCCCCATCAACAGGTGGCATTCTTTCAAAGCCACGTATCACTACCTCACATCATCATCACATCCCTTTCGATAACCCCTGATCCGATTCGGGCTCCCAGTGGCCCAGGGTCACATTGTCCCAGGAAGCATCGGGAACAAGACAGGATACACCCTGGGTGGGACACCAGTCCTTCGTAGGTCACTACCTCACAGAGACCCAAATCTGTGGAGCCAAGTTATTGACATTATTCAACGCTCACTCACAAAATATTTGAAGTCCATTCCATCTTGGTAAACGCTTACCCATCAACAGTGCTCTATAAATGGCCTGCCATCTGTTGATATCTTCCCTGTCTGCTGTAATTTCAGTCTGGGCTATATGAAGGTCTTTGTCTTTCCTGCCTGTACTAAAGCACATTCCTGACCTGCTTCAGGATGGAACTGACGATAAACAACACAGAGGGAGTGCTGACTGGGAGGACTGAAGGACATTATGGGATGGTGATGATGAAAGACCATGTGTCCTGAATGACTTAAGAGTGCAGATAGTCTTCTCATACCCTAAAACACACATTCAGCAAAGGAAATAGCTCTGTCTTACAGTCCGAACCTACTTGAGATAGCTTTGGTAGGAAGAGTATAAGATACATAGGCAGCTGTCGTGACTGGGCAGTGGGCTGTGTGATGCTTAGCTCTCCGTACAGAAAAGGTCACTGTATCAGTGAGTGCAGAGATAGCAATGACACCCAGCAGAGCGCATGCAGCACTGTAGCTGCAAAGCATTAGGACTGATCACCAGGGGGCGCCATGGTGCTACTATTTAACCATTGCCACCCAGGATAGTTATCTAGTCAGGCAGGATGTTCTGTTTCACCGTTACTACCATAAGAAAAGGGGAGTGTCTGAGGGGAGGGGAGGTAGTCTTTTTTAGAGGTCTTCTAAGCAGCTGCTAAAGCATGGTATACTCAGCCTGGGGGTGGTTTCTGTAGGTCACAGGAACACGGTTAATTTACAGAGCCTGAAGGAACACGTTGCATGATCTATGCTAAGCGAAACAACCCCCAGGAAAAACAAAGAAACAAGAGTTCTTTTTGTTGCAGTAATTCCCAGATAGCCATGTGTCCGTTCAACACACCTTGGACTTTAAAGGTGTGAAACTGCATTTACTTACACAAAAGTAACAACAAAATGGCTTAAACTACACCCTCATCATCTATCCATTTCTCGGACACAGCTCGCCAGTTCTGTTTAAGCATCCAACAGCACAATTATGAAACTATAAATACTATTGCTTTGGTGCAGCAAATTGCATTTATGTGATTCAGCTTGTTTTATAAAGGGCAGACGTGTCCACGTTTCATCTCAGGGCTTTTTTTTTAAGGGTGCAACCGTGGCAGACTCGCAAAACAGTAGCTTTGTTGATCATATCCTCCTCCTGCTAATTAAGAGAAATCACGACAGACCCAAATCCTCCCTCCTCCATCTGGAGAATACTGCAGTAATTAGACACCAAGGGGCCGGCACTCAGGTACACATTCTGTATTGCACTTCCTTTCCGGCAGGAGGAGAGAGCGAATTATCTGGGCAAAACATTGCTCGTAACTCGCCTGAGCCTGGCCCTAACATGAGCCTGGCAGAAACCCCATCTTCACGCATGCTGGAGTTTGGGTTTTTTTTTTGCGTCCTGACCTTTAAGATACACAAGAAAGAAAAGAAAGACGTAAAGAACCATAAACAGCCTGAAATAAAACTTCGTTACAGTCCCTGCCCCCTCCCACTCTCTCTGTCAGTGTCATTGCTACCTTCCTACTATCTCCTGGAGCGCTTTGTACCACGGCCCTCCCGCCTGTCTCTGTCACGCCGTGTTGCTGTACCCAAACTGTGCAGACGGCAGTACTAACATGACAGGCAGTGTGTGACACTAATCCCTACGTACCGAGCACACACACTCAGGGACCCGACACGCGTTAACACGGCGCTCTGACTCATGATATCTCCGGCGCCGCCACTAACTGTAACCGCAGTCGCCGTGGCTGAACTCGGGGCCGCCCCGGGCAAGACGCGAGTCCCACCTTAAGGCGCGTCAGCACCTGCGGAGAAGTACTCAGTTCGTCTCACTCTGCAGTCACTGTAGCCTTCTACTGATAGCATGGATTAAAACGGTCTTAAATGCAATACTAAACGAAAATGTTTTAACCACATGTGAAATGTTCACCATCCTTCGCATGAGGTCAGATTTAATTTTAGACTCGCTATTATGCTGGTAAACAGGAAAGAAGGATTCAAATTTACGACTTTTTCCAACCTTTTTGCCAAACTGAAAGAAAAAGAAAACTTCTTGTTATAATATAGGCGTAGATGCCTCATTTAGCCAAATGTTTTATTTCTCAGAAGCTAATAAAGATTGCGTTAATGTAAGCAGCAACGTAAAAAACATTTTTTTATTATCACGGCCGTTTTACAGCCCTACTGCTGAGCACCAATACTGAGAGAAAACCGTCCTTTCATCGCGCACTCCAATCAGCAGCTAACTGATTGCATTGTAGCCATTTGGTTCATTCATTTCACCTCAATTTCCGATGGCTGAAGAAAAAAACTTGAACAGAGTGATTGTACATTGCATGAGTACCATCTAGAGGAGAAGGCGATAATGAGGTCTTCAGGTGTGTATACATAGATGATAAGACGAGAAACCTTTTAGATGATAACTTCGTGACATAACACAGCACCCTGGGTGCTAATGTGGTGTAGTATTTGTCTTGGCTTTCAAGGTTATGTTTTACTGTTGGTAAAAGCATAAACCTAACGGGGCTGGGCATTGAAAAGGAGGAGAGGGCGATGTTTTTTCAATCGCTTTTTTACCTTGCACTGTTTGGTCCTCACGCTGTGCCATACAGGAGGCGTCCTTGGTATCCAGAGGCGTTGGTGACACTAACAGGAGAGCAAATAGGAATAAATAACAATAGCAATGAGATAGAACATATTTTTCAGATTATTATTATTTCGAAACGTGTGGAGACAGGGCAGAATGTCAGCCAATCCATCTGTTTTTCTGCTCATGATAAATGGTCAGATAGAGGGAGCCAGCGTGAGTATCCGCCTTTGAAGACGCACGGAGCCTCCTGTTTTTACTTACTGTAGATCCAGACGAGACTGGATACGCTTTCCTGTGGCCAAATCAGTGTCCGTTTCACATCATGTTCTGTAAAATAATACAACCCGTCTCTCTGCTAACTTTTAAAAACTTGTGTAGTATCTTCAGAGGCTCAATGTGTGTTGAACGGAGCGCTGTTCCAAGTGGTAAAAATTGTTTTTCTTTCGTTAAATCTCCATTTTACTGTCTCTTAGTTTCCAGAATATGACGACCTGTACTGCAAATATTGCTTTGTATACGGACACGACTGGGCTCCTACCTCGGTGAGACACTTAAGCTTGAGGGTGCTTGCTATATTGATAACGTACTGTTTCTGCTTTAAAATTCTACTGCTTTTATTCCCTCAATTTAAACTTCACGTTCGTGTTGTTAATATATTGCCCTGGTTTTCACAGTTCCCAGATCTCCGTGGTCCAGAGTCCAGGCTTGTGATCAGCTCATTTTTTGATGTTGCCTTGCTTTATAAGATCCTTGCAATTAGGACGATGTATTACTTCAGTAATGTGAAAGACAAAGTTATATCGGAAACAACTAAATCGTTTACCGTAATAAATATGAAATATTTAGCCAGCCTTTTTTTTCTAATGGCATAAACTAGTCCTGTTTTCTAACAGTTGTTTAGCAGTTATATGACTTTAACAAAAGTTTAATATTAATTTAAGCATTACCTTCATTCGGTTTAAGAATAATTCTGAAATTGTATTATCACACAGTACCTAAGATGGTGAAGAGAGTTGGTAGCTTTTAATCCCACTGAAAAGCCAAACTCTGTGTTTAGCCAGAGAGAAACTCTTGTCAACACTACAAAATGTTGTTGTGCCTCTTGGGCAAAGGCTGAGAGATCCATTTTGCATGAGGTGAGGTGTGTTTTGTCGAAGGGCTACACCAAGAGGAGTCATTTATTGTTATTCACACATAAATTGACACAAATATGGACTTCGGGAGCTTAAATACCTCTTTGTTGGAATTATCTATACAGTTGACCACTGGAGATGAGGTTGAGGGACTATAACGTCTTTCTCGGTAGGAACAGGTAAGGGTTTGTTCCATGCTGAAAGGAAAAGAGAAGAGATGTGAGGTTTCGGCTTTGAAGCCTTCTTCAGGCGTGTGGAGGCAGTGGCTGTCCAAACCACTGCATTTCTTTTCCTTTCAGCCTGGAATAAATCTTTACCTGTTCCCATGCAGCTGCTGCAGTTCCTTACTGGATGTTTCTCAGTAGCTCGCTGGAAGGGGAATGGCTGTCCAGATAGGTATGGCTGCGTCCAGCGGGCCCCTCACTTCCAGCGTAGGCTGTTCCGATCATGCCTGTCGCTGTCCTGGCAGGGCCTGGAGGAGGGGATCTCCCAGATCGCCTCCAAGAGCAGAGACTCCCAGCAGCGCTGTGTGTGGAACTTCCCCCTGGATATCACCTTCAAGAGCACCAATCCCTTCGGATGTGAGTGACACACCCACTGACACCGATTACCCACTACTGAAAAACTATACTACTTTCTTTTAGAAACAGAACTAAAGGTTCTTTTAGACACAGTACTGCACAAATTGTATATTTGGCTATATATGACAAAATATACTTGTAGATGGGTGTTTTTCACCTCCATTGCAGTGCTGTTGAAGAATTCATGTCAATGGCAAAGGAAGATCTGGCTCTGCGTAATTTTGTGTAGCAGTTAAGAATGACTAGGAACAATTGCTGGGCTTCGTTTGCTTGTGACAAGAACTGTATTTTTGTCAGCACCACTTCCATTTCTATCATTGCTGTGGCCAGGCTGTCACAAAAGAGAGACTGGCTTTCACTGGGCTAAGGTGCAGGTGTCTGCTCTCTTGCGCAGGGCCCCAGATCGTGGTCAGTGTGTACGGACTGGACGCGTTCGGCAATGACGTGGTGCGAGGATATGGCGCTGTTCATGTTCCCATAACCCCTGGCCAGTAAGTCTCCTGCTCTTCTCCTCGGTACTGCTATCCATTGCCCCCTTGAGTTGCACTGTGTGCAGTGCAGCATGCTGTACAGTACACCTTGCAGCAGAAAACTAATAATGAACCTGTGAACAGTGTGCAAAAACAAAAATCTTATTAATCTGTGTTCTTCTCTCAGACACAAGAGAACTATTCCAATGTTTGTTCCAGAATCTACTTCAAGACTACAGAAGTTCACAAGGTAACACCGCCACAACACAGATTAAGCATTTTATGAAAATACCGTTGAGCTCTGCCTTACCACACTCAGTTTTAAATTCTGTGTTCATGGTATCTGGCCCTTATTTGCTTCTCTTGAAAAATGTCCTGACAGCCAGTTTTAAGTGAGCTTTTCAAAAACAGTAGGTTATGCCCAACCAGAGAACCAACAGTAAAATGAATGTGCAGATGAAGTAAAATACTTGTTGAATTCATTGAATGCAGAACAGTTTCCCAAGGCTGTTGTTGCATTTTCCTCACTTTTATTTTTTTTATTACAAGGAAAATGCAAAGAGCCTATCCTTCAGATGTCAGGTTGCTTTAGATCTGCAAGGCCTTTCTCAAGTACCAATAATTCAAGGGCACACAGTACACTTTTACACTTTCGTATCCTTCTGGAAGTTATGGTTATATATGATATTAAAATGCAAATTGGATTTTCTGAAAAGGTCTGATTTTATACATATTTTTTAGAATAGTTATTTGGCTTACCAATACAACTGTTCTACAAGCAGAAGCAGGAATAAAGACCACACAGCTACCTTTCAAAGTGTATGTTGCTAAAAACCATTGGATATGTTACACACCACAAGCTCCACGGTACCCACAGGAGCTTTATCAGTTAAGAGAACCCATTTGACTTTCACGACAGCGTAGCAAATATGCAGGCACTCTTACAGGTAATCAAGATTAGTGTTGCACAGCAAAATGAGTATAATGTGAACAGCTGAAGACCTGCCTACCTCAGCAACATTTTGCCAATTGTATGCTAGAGCTCTGGGAATCCTGAGCCTATCTGAGCAGGAGCTAATGGGATGGTTCAGGCTCAAACGACCAACTTCTAAACTAGGGCTCAAGCTACATTCCAAAAGAGAGCACGTACACCCTAAGTCACTCAAGAGTCCCATTTGTTAGGTAATGAATATATCTGAAGCATGAAGATCTGCAGGAGGCATGGCAGTTAGCCCTACTGTTCTCAAGCTGCTGGGTCCAACTGTAACCTGGGCACTGTCTTTTTGGAGTCTCTCTCTCTGTACTCCTGTTGGCTGCATGGTGTTTCTCCCGTAGTCCAAAGTCATGCTGTCTAGGAAAACTGATGTCTCTTAAATTTTCCCTTTAATCTGTGTGTATGTACTCTGGGACAGATTGGTGTCCTATCCAAGAAAAGTCCTTCCTTGTGCCAGATTAACTTGTGATCCGTATAGGAACTAAACACTTAATGAAAATGGATGGATAGACATTGTTACACTACACTCTACAAAACACTTGTTAAGATTCCATTAAGGAAATGACAACTGCCAGTCACCACTTACTGTTGTTGCATGTTGGATTGTTATGGTTTTATTTCAAAGGCCCATAAGATTAATAAGACTGCTTCTGAAGTAAATATTACAAGTGTTCCAGGCATCTGGCAACTTCAGCATCTTTTCCAGTAGTCTTCCAAATGAGACTTCTTTTCGTACAGGTTAAAATTATGCTAGGATCATATTCTGGTTGTATCAGTGGCGACTTTTTCCTTTTTAACACAAACAAAATGTAAATGCTCAGGCTGATGCGGGTTTAGACAAGAGGCTCTAAATCAGCCCTTTCTTTTTTTTTCAGCTGGTTGATGGGAAGGCGTCCAGAATTCACAGACCCCAAGGTCGTTGCTCAGGGAGAAGGAAGGGAAGGTAGGTCCAGACCGTAGTAGCTGCATTCATTCACACGCCTTTCTGCCCCGGAGCTGAAGTTCCAGTTTGGCTCAGCCTCAGATCTTTGGCAGTTTGTATTTCCTGTTTGTAAAAAGACTTAGCAGGTGGTGTTGAGGTCAGTGCTAGGTTGCACCTGTGGCACAAAAGGAAGAACTACATGGCACATCATGAGAGCACAGCCTAAAACAGAAAGCAACCAGTATTACGTTCCTTCTTCTTTAACTTAAATATCTTCCTCATAGATTAATACTTGAAAACACAATGAAGCCACCAAGATCCTGTTCTATTTTCATATTATAAAAACCTTAGCAAAAAGGCTGAAGTGTTGGTTATCCTTTTCTGTTTCAGTAACCCGAGTGCAATCTCAAGGCTTCGTCTGTCTGTCTTTTAACATTGTGACCAAAGACATGAAGAAGCTTGGCTATGACACCACTTCTACAGATACAGAGAAGCCCTCCGGCCTCCTAGCCACAGAACCAGCCTATACTTCATGAGGCCCTCAAATCACAGCCCGAAGAGCATCAGAAACAAGGTCCTCCAAGTCCAAATGGTCCAAGTGTTGTGAAGAATACATGTTGAAGAGGCTATCAAAACATACTGTCATTACAGTATTTCAGAGACTGTTTTTCATTGAGTTCCAAAATTGCTAATTGTACAACCGAGGAACTAAAAAGGTGCTGTTATGTTCTACATCATCTTTTTTTAAAGACATTAAATGTATTTTATGACAAGAATAAATTCTTTCCATCTTTCACCACCTCTCAAATTCGGATTCATTGGAGAAAATCTTCCCATGCTACACAAACACACACATAAAACCTAGAAGTTTTTTAAATTTGCAATGTCCCTCAGAAATGGCTGTGTAAAGAAACTTTAAACCGCTGTTAGAGAACCTTTTCCTAAGTGGCTCAACCTGTATGCAATAAAGGTGGAGCCATGCAAGTTCATTATAAGGCAGACTTTACAACGGAAGTTGCCTTAACCTTTTCCCTGCCTTGCCACACATCGGTGATTACTGTTTGATACTAGCTGTGGGGCTCACAGTCTGAAACACCACAGACAATTCAGCTTTGCGTATTTTGGGGATACGTAGGTCTTCTCCATCCTTCTTGTGCTGGTACCAGTCTACTAGCAGCATATATGAACTGCAGCCCAGAGTGTATGTGATACAATTTATTTTGTAACCACTGCAGCTACAGGCCCTTTAACATTTGCTGCTGTTTAAATGGCATTAAAACATCACATTTCTCATGTGATGACTTCCCTACAAAAACCATTATACAGAAATAAGATACAGAACAATATGTTACAATAGTACAAATGATAAATTATATTATACAGTTATAATGCCAACAAGTCGAGCACAAATCCATAAAAAAAGCAGCCTGCTCCCAGTAATATGAAACAGTTTGGTAAATATACAGACAATAACATGAAAAAATAAATTTGTTTATGCATGTTTTCAATGAAAATGTTAGTTTTCCACAATAAATGCATCATTAGTATAAAGTAACAGAATGCAAGAAAAAATACACAGTAGAAACAGTTACAGCAAAAAACGAGATGTGACAAATTGAGCTAGATATTGTATGTAGTTTTAAAAAGGTGCAAAACAATGTTTGCACAACATGTATTACATGTTTTGTAGCACAGATCTTTCCTTATAGATATTAGTTTCTAAGTCTGCATATTTCTGTTACTTATCTGCAGGGCTCGATTTTCTTACAGGACTCATACCTGTTTAACCCTCATCATCCCTATCAGATCAAAGCCAATAAATCTTGGTAGCTTAAAGATGTCTTTTTTTTTTTCCTTGTTGCCTGAGTAAATGTGTGGTAGGTACATTAACTATAATTTCAATACTATTTGAACTCGCTAGGAATTACAATGAAAATTGCTCTACCACAGCTGTTCCAGCAGAGGGCACTAGCTGACAGAAGAATAAAATATAAAAAAAATCAAAACAGTACAATGACATGGGTTTAAAATTAATAATATGAAGATTATCTGATTGCTTGCTAACAAAAGCAAATACCTGTATACCTGTTTTAAACAGTCAAAAGTTACAGTGCCTCCTATATAAGTAGAATGTCAGTGTTACTGTGTTTTCAGATTGAATTAGGTTTTCCTTGTGCTGGTAATGCAATAGTACTTTGTAATGGTTTATGAAAGTACACACCAAATTCTGTGGTCCTCACAAAGAAACGTTACAATGAAAGAAACCACAGAGCTGTGCAACAAAGATAATGCACTACCTTTCATCATTTATTTGTAATGTATATTATTCATTTTTAAAGCAGTACTTCAGTATATATCATCTTGTTTCATGGAAGATCTACCAGTACCGGAGTATGTTTTTTTAGAAGCAAATTCATTACAAAGACTGCAAGCAATCTTAGTTCACAAGTCAATAAAGAACACATAGCTGCAAATTTCGGTACTGCTCCTTTGCTCTGCAGCCCAGTAACTACCTGCTACACCCTTCGTATGTTCACCTCACCTACACAATCGTGAGCCTCACATTCTGAAGAGACTGGATCAAACACACAGTTCAGCAAGATCATTACAAGCAAAACTCAGATGGGAAAAAAAAAAACTTTCCTAGTGTTGTGGGCTTGATTATTAAACTCTAGTTAAGTGACTGTTTTATCAGATATAAAATTAGGGAATGGCCATGCCAAACATAACATAACATCACTTTATTGGCCACATACAATTTCTTGTATTTGGAATTTGTCTTTTCGCATACCCCAGCTTGCTCTCCATGAGACACACAGACAGGGAGAGAGAAGCTTGGGGTCAGAGCGCAGGGTCAGCTATTTATACGGCGCCCCTGGAGCAGTTGGGGTTAAGGGCCTTGCTCAGGGGTCCGATGAAGTAGGATTCCTCCGCCGGCCGCGGGATACGAACCGGCCACAGAGCCACCAATACAGCACCTTGTTTTATTGATAATGCTTTTGTGCGGTAGGTTTCCAGTAGCACTAAAAATTAGGGTTCACTTTGTATCCCTTTACACACAGTTGCAGTGTCCCAGTTCCTGTTCGCTGGTAATGAATACCCTGGCTTCCTCCAACAGCAGGAGGAGACACATGGATTCTTAGCAGGGAAGCTAACACTCTACAAACTTAAAAAATGAACAATCAAGTATCTCTTAGAAAATATCATCAAAAGTTAGTCCAAGCAGGAGCTTTGAAGATGAGCTGATATTTGGTATATTAAGTTCCAATGTCTGCATTTTTAAGGCCATCATGTAATGCTATAACTCCATTACAGGAGTTTTACATAAAAACATAAAAAATATCGGTACTCTTGAGCATATTGATGAGAATTTTTCAGTGAAAAACCCCACCCCCACGCCCTCCACTGCCTCCAACCTAATGCTGTCCAATCACAGTAAGGGCACAATTTAAACTAGCTCTGATGTTTAATCCGGCTATTTCAAATTTTCCCTTTATCTGAATTCTGTTTATAATCAGGCAGTTGAATTCTACAGTATATCGTATATTGTACGTTAAAATGTCTCCACAGAAGGCAGACCTGCATTTCTACATAAAAAAAAAACATCACAATAATGGCATGACCAATTCTAGGAAAATAAAACTATTTTAAAACGGGTACAATCAGGTACCTGTGGATATAAAAGCACTGCAGGTCAGGTGGTTAGTCCCGATAAAAAATCTTAAAGCTTAAGCACTTAATTAAAAAAAAATTAAATAAGATCATGCAGCAACACCTGTTGTAAGTTACACTGGTGATAAGACTGTAAGACGCGGGAGGATTAGCTCAGATATGAAGCTCACCTGTCTCGCTCTCATTTTCTCTCTCATTTCCCTTTATATCGACGTCTATGAATATTAATACGTTTTCTTATATAAATTAACAGCATCTACACACAAAAAGAAAATATCTCCGATTGTTGGATCTTGAATCTTAACAGCATTATTTAAGAGAGCTAGGCAGCTGCATACTGATTTAAAAGACTCAATTAGGTCTATATAAAACTGTCACCCTATGAAACTAAGACTGTGCAAAGATTGAGCATTACAATATTACTAAAAAATCATATCACCATTTACCCAATTAAACTGATTTACCAGATTGTATTCAGTAGAAAATAATGGCTTTTGTAAAAAAATTAAAAGCCATCTTCAAACGTGCAAACCAGTTTCCTATGACTGTACTTGTTAACAGTCTTTCAACCCTCCAATATTTCATGAATTGAACCTGTGACACATGAAGTGCACACACTTCAAAGTCCTAAGCACTAAGGGCACAGACTTCTCCATGTAACATTTTATACTTGGTATTGAATACAACAGTCAGCCATTGTTTTTCTTCAGCTAAGGACTAATGGTGAACCAACAGTCAAAAACTAAACCATGTGCAAAAGCTCTGCTTAGAACACCAAATCCATTAAAATGTAAACTGACTGAATCATCTATATACTGCGTGTACTAATGCGTACCGGGTTCCGTCTTTTCAGTGCTTATTTTATGACAACATAGCTCGCTTTGAAAGGCAGTTCGCAGGCACAACAACTTCAATGGATCCCAATTTAGCAAAACATTCACTGATGTTGGGGTACGGGGTCTTCATAATTGAAATATTTGTAATTCTAGTCAAGGGTGGTACTTACTGTACGCTCCATCTCCATTCTGTTAAATATCGTCAGCACATCACACTCAGCAACTGGTGAAAGTAAATGTGCAAGCAGATGCACATCGACTGGGGAACCGCAGGGCTGAAATGCGAGTTAACTGGACGCAGGAATTACTGATCAGTACCCACCTGCATGTTGGTATTAAGCGACTGAGCCAAAACACTCAGGGGTTGAGATGGTATGTGAAAGGCAGCTTGTCCTCTTGTGTAATTAGTACATATTTAGTGTTCTATGACACTGTTCATGACAAAAAAATAAGCACAGAAAACACGGAACACAATGCAAGCTGTACATACAGTGTATATGCAGTGATGCAGAACTTTAAAGTTAATAAAAAGAGATCAGCTTTAGTGAATACCTTTCTTTAAAATACAGAATAAAACGGAGCAGGATGTGTAGTTTATTTAAACCTTTGATAAGATTAAAGCAATCTAAAGAGTTTAAAATTGGTATCCCACTAAATACTACGCTGGCTTTCGGGGAGCAGCTGTACACTGGAGGGTAAGAGTAGATCACGTTTACAACACACAGTAACTACCAGAGTTTCGCTTCAGGAAATTAAGGAGTAAAGGGTGAAGGGGGTACCTACCTCCAAGGGGGGCAGAGAGAGCTTCTTCTGCCACTTAAAAACTGTAAACACCACATCTACTCCAAGAGTCTTTAGTAAAGTAGCACTCCACGAAACCAGTCTGAAAGCACGGCAGACCGCTATATTGTTGACTAATATAGAGGTGTTTGTCTTTGATGAGAACAGCTGCAGAGAGCAACAGAGCTTTCTTCACAACAGGAAGGGGTTGGTAGTGCCGCCACCCTGGGCGGCCGTGGTAGCTGAGGCCTTTCCTGTGCTCATAAGTGGCTGTGGCATGGGTCCTGGCATGCTCATAGCCATGCCAGGCACCATATGGCCCATGGGTGCCAGCGCCGCCATCCCTGGCATGGGGACCATTGTCATGGAGCCGGGTGGAGGCATCGTGGGAAGGGGCAAGGGATCCACGCCCATGGCGGGCAGGGGGTCCACGCCCATGGTGGGCATGGTGCCGAAGCTCTGGGAGCTCATGCCCATCATGGGGCTGACTCTCATCTGGTTGAGGGTGGGCGGCTGGGGCTGATTGACCTGGAAGGGATTGACCTGAGCCGTGGCTGGAGGAGCGGCCCCTGCAATGGGATGGAGAGAAACATGCGTTTTATACCAAAGCGAGGCTGGTCTGTTTGGCCATGATGAGCGTTGGGAGGGGGGGGGAGAATTAAAGGGCAACTGCAATGCTATTTTTATATTTCGGGGTTAGAAAGAATCAGCATTGGTGAGCACGTTTCAAACCACAATGAAAGTAAAATGTACATAGTAATGTGTAAAACCCTCAATTCACATCACAAAACAGGAAATTTCCAGGTACACACAGCCCAGTATTCTGCGATGCAGAACGAAGCAACAAAACTCCCATGTGAAGCGGCCCTATTCCAATTTAAACAAGCGGACTCGTGAAGACTTCTCTTTTAACTCAATAGAAATATTGCTCTCCACTTCAAGACGGTTTTGCAGACAAATACTACTTACTTGCTGACTCTGCATGCAGATTAGGTTGGAAAATTTCTGCGTAAAATGTCTGCTGCACAGCCTGTTTTTATTGGCTTATACATCGGATTACATTAGACATTAGTGACTAGAGAGCAGGAAGGGCTGCTCCACGTCGCAATTCTCACAAACTCTTGACTACATGGCGACGACACAGCACTTTCGCCAATTTCATGATTTTGCACTCCGTTTGGAATTTGTGAAACTCTGCGATGCTGTCAAGTTTATTTTATTCCAAAAGTTGGGAAAACCCGACTGAGAAATCGGGACTGCAGTTCCGCTCTAACAGAGCCTCACAGGAACTGAGCAGCACGCTCGGACTATGACATCCCCACCGACTCTCCACTCCGTATCGCAGTGATAACTGTGCCCTGCTTCCCGCGGTGTGAGTGAGCTGTCCGCTCACACACATCTAACTCGTACCTGGCATAAGGAAGGGGTTGGAGACGGGAGCTGGCTGTACTGGTTTGCTGACTAGCGAGTCCAGGTTCACCAGTGCGGCATTGGGACCCAGGAAGGACTCGGGTGTCTTCCGAGAGCCGGTGGTGGCGCTCATGCTGCCGGGGCCGGAGCTGCCCCTCTGCAAGTCGAACATGTCGGGGCTGGCGGACGCGCTGGGCCGAGAGGACAAGACGTCACCTAAGAGGCAAGAGTCATTATTCTTTCATGTGATCCCTTAACAGGGGCAACTGGATTTGATTAATCAAACTCATCTCCCCTTCGACAGGTGTAAATGTACATGAAAACATTATTGTAACGGGGCATTAAAATATGCAAGACATGCTATGTATTCCAGTACTCATTTGTTGTATATTTACCCCTCGCAGTACGGGGTCTTCACAGTAAAGTCAAGCACGCCTTTGAATGACACTTAAGCGTCAAAGCCGGAAGAGTACAATGTTATATGTGTACTTTGAAAAACTTTATGGAAAAGGCTTAATTTCTGCCATCTCAAGACCATTTTAAGCTGTTTATACTCAATTTCTTACAGCTCAGAGATTGGACAGTGAAGTGCTGGAACCCCCAGCACTGTGTGCATAGGCTTACCTGTCTTTGTAGAAGATGAACGTAAGCTGTCGAACTCTGAAAAGTCATCCCTGGAAGTACCGTTTAACGTGCTGAAGGGATCAAAGTTGCCTGCACGGAAATAGTCATACACAAGAGTGTGATGTTTCAAAGGGCCAGAACACATCCAATATACATCGATCTTCTGAACTTGGAAGAGTTGCAAATCACTGTGAATCAAAGGCATCTCAGCTGAAGCCGTTGTTGTGATTTTAGTAAAGTAACAAGATTTTGGCAAATAGGGGTTTGTTAAAGACCACAGCGAGCAACGTAAAGAAATGTCTTACTTTTTTTTTTTAAATTAGAAACAGCAGCTTCACAGCTGCACTGTATTCTGCAAATCCTGCAATGTGAAAACAGGTATCAAATAGTTTCTAGGAATTTAGAAAGACTGCAAAGAATGCAACACAAAACTAATTCTCCATTATTTCAAAGAATTCCCACTCCCTCCAGCCCTAATGTTGATACAAAGCGCCTCCTCTCCTAACTTCTATTGCGCCGCTTGTTGGAAAGCAAACAAAATGCTGTTCAACAACCGAACAACGGAGCTTAGATCCATACTTTCCGAATATGGCCACTCGGCACCGATGAGTGGAAATGATTTTACATTTCAAAGACTCCACCTCTTTCCCTCGTTACATTTTCTTCTCACCTGGGGAGCCGGTCTTGGGGTGGCTGGCAGACCCTGTCACCCAGGGGTCAGGGATTCCTTGAGCTGAAGCAGCAGGGGAGCCCCAGGGATCTGCACTCTTCACAGGAGTGGCCGAGGCTGAGGAGGCACCCCATGGGTCGGCTGTCGGTATCGGCTTCGAACTTGCACCTGCAACCACAGAAGGGATACTGTTACAGAGAAGAGCGCGAGGCATTAACACACTGACCTTAGGCATTAGCATGGAGCGCAGCTAAGAGAGCACACTGGTATGCAAGTCAAATAACTCTTCCCACAGGGCAATCTGATACTATTGTATTCTAAACCAGCACTAAGCATCATTGATGCATATCATTCTCAACGCCGTTACACGAAGATGTGACCTCCGTCCATCGCATTCTGGGTTGATTTCGAATGTATTAAAATCTGACATTTGCTGTGGTCACTATGGAACAATATTGATTTCATTTTCAGAAAATAATTGAGGAGTTTTTTTTAACATTTAATTGCACATCATCAACATTAAGAGACGTCAGCTCTTGGGGGGGGATCTGATGGCACTAAAAGAATAAAAGTCAGTGGAACAGCTTATTTCCTGTTTCCTGTGAGACAGTAATACTGAGACTGTTTTTTTAACCAGTGGATTTGATGATCACAAAAGGAAATAATTAGTGCAAGGTAAAGTCCGTCAGTCCAATGAGACAGCTTAGGTGTAATCGCATACAAGTGATTTTCATCGTCTTCTTCCTCCCTTCTCTGTATTCCTGTAGCCACAGGATCCAAGCACTCATCTCATTTAAGGTCATTTGTGATCCCTGTTTTTCCAGTGCTCTTAAATATCTGTATGCCATGGCCACCACCTGAATCAAAACCACTCACTCATCTCAAGCACCAACTGTGTGAATCCCCTACGTACAGTACGCCTGCAGACTACGAGAAACAAACAGTGCTGACGTTTTTACATGCTTAATTAAAATTCTCAAATAGCTTTTAATTTTAGAGCTTCACAGATGCAAGGTTGATGCGTTGCAAGAGAATATTATCATAACAAAAGTAAATAAATCCAGCTCTGAATGGGCTCCTCCTTAAGCAACGAATTCTGTCGTTCACTGTAACTAGGAGAGGAATGCAACGCTACCAGTTAGGCCACATTGCCTTAGCTGTGGCTAAAGGAAACTGAGGCTGCTGAGCGAGTCCATTCTGAACCAAGAAGAACCCTGTGAATGACAAGGCAATTCTCCGTCAACAAAGAGGGCAGAAGGACTGCTGGTGACGCACAGCTTTCTAAAGTGATGCGAGCTTTGCTCAAAACATAATAAGGAAAATGTTTCCAATGCCACACAGCAAAACCATCTATAGACATGCTGGAGCAGACTTGTGCCGCACTAACCTGAAAACAATGCAGGTACATCTAAAGAATGCTTCTAATTTTTAAATTAATCGCTTTTTAACACAAAAATACTACTGTGACACAGTGACATGCCAAGGTATTCAGACCCTTGCATAGTTTTAACAGTTCACCAGCGTGGCTTAAAAAAAAAAGTCAATGTCCTTGGGTGGCCTGTCCACAGTCCCGACTATAAGCGATCTCCAAGAACTCTGCAAGAGCTTGAGCAAATCTGCCAAGAAGAATGGACAAACACTGCACCATGTTAGTGTGCAAAGACCATATGGCCACACCTGACCAAAAAGACAGGCAGCTGCAACTCACAGCACACAGGTCCCAATACTTATGCAAATCAAGGTTTCCGTTTTTTTTTTTCCCGTTTCACTTTTGCTGAAATTTACAGTAACCTACCCTGAGAAGTCTTCAGTTTGAACATTCAGATTTTGAATTAAATATTAAGTTGAACCAAATGTTTGTTATTTCATAAAATGGGACACCATGGGAAAGGTCTGAATACTGTTCCAAGGCACTATATGTACACACCCCCGCCTTCCCTGTGGCTGTGATGTCATGGTTGTGTTTAAGATCCTCACTGACGATAAAAGTAGTTATCGGGTGTCTCCTACCCTGATCTCAGAGAGCCAGAATCTGGAAGTTTTTATAACCTTCACTGTCAGAAGACTTTTATTTTGACCTCTTTTAAGGCTTTTAGAGAAATTCCCTATTTTAGAGGTTGTAATTAATATTCCATTTCAGATCAAGACCTCTCAAGAACCACAGATGGTGATTCCTGACGTGGCTGAATCAATGTACTAAATTGATAAAGGGTGAGCTATGAAACCTGTTGGATTGTGGCTCTCCAGGACCAGGTCTGTCCACCCATTCGCCCTGGAGGGGCAGCCAGGTCCTCAGGTACCCCCTAAGATTATCGCAGGCATAGAACGCTAAGAAAGGGGTGTTTTGGGGTTTTTTTGCATGTATGTGCTGTATTATAGTGGAGTCAAAAAATAATCATATCATATATGCATAGATCATGCATAGATCATTTAGAATCTAAATGATGTCAGACTAAGCTGATATTTTACTAAAAACTAAGCACATGAAAATCCACCATTTTGAATGCTTCACCTGAGGTACCCCCTAGTACATTTCGAGGTATCCCCAGGGGTACACGTAACCCCGGTTGAGAACCACTGGCATAAACCATAAAATGTCTGCTCACCTAAGTGAAAGTCAAACCAATGAGGGGAAACAAAAAATCATGATACACACTGGTTCTCAAATTTGAATCAGAGGATGGAAAATCTGCAGAGCGCAGGGAACTCCTGAGTTTCCTTAATTGGAATGCATTTATGTAAAGCTAGCGAAATGCCTTTATTCCTGGGATTTCTGAAACATGTTACATCTGATGTAAAAGGCATTTGCATTCACAGCATGTCAAGACTTAACCCCAGCAGACTGATCTTAGGTTTATTTCTCAATCCCTGACAAGAACAGCAGGTGCCAACCAACAAACATGGCGCACAGATGCCATGTGGAGCAAATCAGAGAGGTGGCAGCCAGGCCTGTATCTCCCACTGTGTGAGAGGAGGGCAGGCGGCATGTTCAGCAGCTCTCTCTCCCCAGCATCGTTCTATTGCTGTGCAATGGATACCTTTGCATTTGACAGTCTTATTTATCCAGACCTGAAATAGAATAACTATATAAAGCTATGACACAACCTTTAGGCCTAGGGGAAAAAAAACACTCTGGAATGAGCAAAACAAAACTGAGGGAGGAGAGTTGAACATAAAAAAAAGATCAGCATGTCAAAAACCAAACCTGTGTTTAAAACATTACGCCAAGCAAGCACAGGAGGCACATGGGCATTGTCGAGTTATCTAAGTTTTGTTCCTAACTGCATTAAAAAAAAAAAACAATCGCTGCCAGAACTGACGGGGATTTTAAAAGGATTGTTTTTTTTGCTGAGGAGCTTTAAGCTTCATCTGAAACACAGCATGAGGATACAGTTCAAGTTGGAGATGACACAGATGTGGAAAAGTGAAAGTTTTTTTCTCCCAACTTCAGCATAAGATTTAAGATGGGCTTTACTCAGAAAAAAAAAAGGTTGAACAATTTGTTGCACTGGGGCAAAACGGGCTGAAAATAATCAGTGTTAGTACATGGCAAAAGTTAAATGAAGTACACTAAAATGGAAAGGGGTAATAAGACACTGAGTAGGTTTCTATTCTTAGTAGCTGATGGTGTCAGGGAAGCTGTGTGTGGACCCAGTGCAGGACAGTGACTCTGTGATAAGGCCAGAAACCAATCCCAGAAACTACCTTTACTCAGAGGTAGGCCAAACTTCCCAGGTTAGTTATTCATTAGATCACAGAAGCCACGCAACTACGAACCTCTTGTTCCAGTTACTGTGACAGTACAAATATGTACATCTGTCATTAGAAATGGGAGTTATTGCAACAAGAGACTTCAGGTGTGACAGAACAAAACGCCAGGAAATTAGAAACCGAAAATGTAGCTCCACTGCAGAGGAGGGCCTGGATCTGTCGGAACAGAGACAGTGATGCGTGGAGCCGCGACGAGGGTCTCCAGAGCAGCCGAGGCAGGAGTGTCTCACCATATGACCGCCAGGGGTCAGGGGCCACTGCTGCTGCCGCCCCTCCCCAAGGGTCTGATGTCTGATCCGCTGGGCCTTCGGGTAGGATGTCCATCAAGTCCATCAGCACCGACGGCTGGGAGACGCCAGGAAGACAATCGGCAGGAACAGAGCAGGATTAGGTGCAGGAAAAAACAGCACTGCCATCCTGCACCACGCCATTTTAAATGAATCTCACGGTAACACCATCAATCTCAAAACCATCAATGCACCGGTGATCACACATCATTTTAAGGCACATATTCATACAAGTCATGCAGCTTGTAAATGATACAAAAAT